AATGATGACCTAAGCACATCTCATTGCTGTCTAATCACTTCCAAATATTAAAAAGTACAAATGAATGGAGGCTTACTTAGAACTCCACAGTATATCCAATATAAGTATCATTTCCTCCTCTCCCCAGCATTGGCCAGGCCATGGCTCAAAGGACAAAGAGATGAGAGAGGGAGCTCTGTTACTCTTAGGATACCTCCTACTCCCCAACTCTTTAGTATGTTATGACAAAAAAGGATAGACACCAAGATAGAAAGTGACAAATATCTTTTACAGATATGGTGCTGGGGTGGTTCTTCCTTGAATTCACTGACCATTATTGTCGGCTGGCTTCTAAACCTCAGTTTACTCGCTCTCCCATGGTGGGCATGTTGGAGCCTTGGAAGACTACCCACAGGGGCTACCCCTGCACATTGCCCTAAGCTGAGAGATTCAGTTCCACCTCCACCTCTCATAGCCTCTCATCACCCTCTCTACCTCTGCAGTGGAGGTTTCTTCCCCAGGTAGCTAACTTGTTGGTGGATCTACCAGACAGTGGCAGGTGCTGTAGACAAAAGGGTATGCATGCTGCAGGTACAACCCAATGTCTACATCTTGAAACATTCCCTGGCTGGGACATCCAGGACTCTGTGTGTTCTAATCCCTCACTAGCTAGCTTTGTATGTCAGTTTATCTTTGAAGTATGGCAGAGCTGAATTCAAATTCTAGTTCACAACATGCTCATTGAGTTACTTTGGGCCAGCTATCACCCTCTTTTGCACCCCAGTTGCTTCATCTGCAAAATGAGGGTAATAATATCATCCATCCAGTGCTGCTAAATATGATCACACTTAGGCATAGGACTTGCACAAAATCATATTCAGTAAGTGGTAAGCACATTATCTTACCTCTTGCAGTCTAATTTTCCCCATATTTAAAATAAAAATGAGGTGATGAGTTCCCAAGTTCCTTTTCAGCTTTTGATTTTATGGAAAGTATACACATTTCTCTCCTCTACTGAGGTATTAGCTATGTCTATGGAGGCAGGGACACAAATCTCCTTCCATGCCTGCCCAAATGTGCATCCTGAGCTGAGAGGCTGGGGGACTCAGCTATGAAACACTCATTCCCTTTATGAATCAGTTAGCATCAATCAGGACTTGGGCTACACACCCAAGCTGGACCTCTCACTAAGCCTAAAAAGTAGGCTCAATTCAGTATTGTCCACACCCAGTGCTAGAGATGGGATACCCAGAAGACACATCACCAAAAGGATAAGGACTGCCATCTGTGTATCTGGAAAACAATAATTTCTTACTGTGATATTTTTGTTTCTTAAAGTCACAAACCACACATTAACCACACAAGCCATATCTAGGAGATGGATCAAGAATTGCAATATCATTCTCCTACCACATTTTGGGGAATTGAAGAATTAAAAAAACAGAACTGCTTTTGCTCAAGGTCACACTGTCTGGAATTGAAACTCTCTTTGTCCTGAACTTAGTCTCCTGGCCAAATTGCCTCTGAAACACTTTCTCCCTCTCCTGGGCCATCCCTCAGGCTCTGCTAGGAGCAAGGACAGGAGATCTAAGATCTCGAAGATGCTTTTAACTTTGTTCTTTTTCCAAGATTGTCAGACTCTAGGAGCCACTGAGACTCCTGGAGGGAAGAGCATAGCTTTGCAAGTTTGGAATGACTTTAGTTCAAAGCATTCTCCACTCTCCCTGTGTTCCCAGTGAAGACAAAACCCAAGAACCCTGGGATACCAAAAAGATCTCAAGATTATGTTGGTATTTCCTGAAAACTCACAGAGAATAGGGCCATGCAAAGGACATGTCAACAGCTTTTTTGATGACTTCAATATAAGTGAATCAGAAAAAGATGGATTAAGTTTCCCTTCAAATACACATGTGCTGGAGAGTTGCAGCTGAGAAAATGCTTAGACCCATGCATTTCCTAGGGCTGGTCAACTCCAAACAGAGTGGGATGTTTTGCTGAGTCCCAAACACTGACTTCTCTTCCTATCCCTAAAAATAACTGAGCTGTCCAGCTGTTGGATGGATATTTTCTCCTTTGGTTTTTGTTTCATCTGATTTTCTCACAAAGTATCAGGGTGATAAATGACTTCAAAACCTGGTAGAATGTTCTGGGGGAATTAGGCATTCAGAAAAGTAAAAAGCAAAAATAAAAAAACTGCCACAATCTCACATCATTGCCCTCACCAGGCATTCTGTCCTTTGAACATTACCTGTCATTGCTTATCCATCCATCAATGTCAATCCCAAGATCTGTTTCCTCTGGGAACTCTTTGGGATTATTTTGGTCCTCATGAATGTAGAAATCAATCATTGAAACAAGTTTTTGAGCACCTAGCATGTACCAACAGTGACTGTCTAAAACAAGGCCCTTGCCCACAGTGGGTTTATGACATAATTAAGAAGCTCCTACAGACTCATGAAGCAATTAAGAGGTAATAACAGATGGTACAGGTAGGTAAAAAAAAAAAGTAGGATACAAGCATAGGGGCTTTAGGCCTTCAGAGAATAGAGAAGGCACTGTGTGTATCAAAGAAGGTTGGAAATCATAATAACCAACATCCACTAACTGTCGTGTTTTGGGGACTTTCACAGATGTTTTCTCTGGATCTCCACAAAAGCCCTTTAACACAGACAGGGTATTGGTCATACAGACGGGAAACAGAGACTTGGGGATATTAAGTGTCTTATTCAAGGTCATTAGTAAGTGGTGGAGCAGATGTAGAGACAGACTAAAGGCTTATAACCCAGGCACCTGTGCCTTAACACCACACTAGTTTTTTAAACAGTTTGTTAAAAGTCGATAGGTAGATAACTATGGTCTTATACTGCAGATGACCGGAATCTCTGTGACATTTCTGAATATATCCAAAGTTGACTTGCACACCCCCCACGTCTCCATTTTGCTCATGAATTATACCCATCTGGAATCTTCTCGTCCTTTCTCCCATTCCTAAAGATTCAGGACAAGTTTGTACCTTGGATTTCCCCAACCTAAAATGTTTTCTCCTTCTTTGGAATAAATAGGACTTAATGACTGTATCTCTCACATGTCAACTAATTATGCACTGGGAGTCACATCACTTCTGTTTTCTTGTACTTTTACTTAAAGAATCTTAGGTTATTATTTAGCATATCTATGTTTCACCTTCTGCAGAGATTAGCTGCTCTCTGAGGAGAGTTTTTATGCCTGATACATGGTACCAACTGTTTTGAGAGTAGTCCAAAGCTATGTCTAGTAAATATGTGTTGATAGGAGTGAAAATCTCCACCCTATGCTGAGTCCTGCATCAGCAGGCCCTGTTCCCATCTTGGTGTAGAACTCTCCGTCTGCATGTTCTACATACTTCTCAAGCTCCTGTGTTGAAACTGTCACCATCTTCCCCCAAAACTAGCTTCTCTTCCAGAGGTTTCTCTTGCTGCCAGAAGCAATGTAATTCTCCCAGTCAGGCTCCAAAGGTGATCATCAGTTTTGATCTTATGACCTAGGGTACTGTTGATTGTGCATTGAAGTTTCTTATAAATAAAAGGTGCCCGACCTTGTGCTGGATGATCGGCAGAGACCAAAGAAAGAGCAAACTCCTAGGAGAGCTCCCAAGCAAAGAAAGGACAAAATACACAGGGAACAAATTAGTTAACAACGCAGGCTTCTGTGTGATCAGTTCACACTGCCAACGCCATACTTCAGAAGTGGGGAAGATGAGCTTGTGTTGAATTAGCCCACAGATGCTTCCTGGGAAAGTATTTGAGTAATCCCTGGAGACAGGGAGGACTGAGTTGAGAGAAGAAGAAGGGGAAGGCTATGGGGGCAGCCCTGTGGGGAGAAATGAGAAGATAAATGCATGGTCCCTACTCTCAGGCATCAGAAGTTGACCAGTTGAAGACAAAGGGAAACCGGTATAGGGAAGTACTTGAAATCCAAATGGAGAATCAGTCGTGTCCATTGGGGCTATTTTAGGGAGCTAAGAAAAAGATACCAGAACTAACATTCAGAACCTGAACCTGCTCTTCCTCCTCTTCCAGAACAGAGCCTGGTGTAGTCAGAATCCCCATGGCAGGATTCTGGGGTTATTCTCACCTTGCCATGGTGCATGTGCAGGCACATGTCAGAAAGAAATAGTACTCAGAGCAGGCCCCCCACGATGCCTTTGAGAGCCTCTTCTCCTTCACCCAGAGCTTGGCTCCCAGCTTGGCTTTCGATGCCCCAAAATCAGGAACCTCAGGACAGCCTTCTGGAGGCTGGAAGGATAGGGGCAGCTGAGATCATTGGGTTTCAACTTTAATGACTGGGTTATTATCATTGCCCCTAAGTGATTTTTCAAAGGCACAGGAAGAAGTCAGTCAACATTCCAAGTTCCCACCTGGAGGAGGCATTAGGAACTATCCTGAGAATCCCACTTCTCCTTTCTTTGCTTGCTACCACAGCCATGAAAAAATACTTCCAGGCTGGGCGCAGTGTCTCACACCTGTAATCCCAGCACTCTGGATGCCAAGGCAGGTAGATCACTGGAGGTCAGGAGTCTGAGACCAGCCTGGCCAACATGGTGAAACCCTGTCTCTACTAAAAATACAAAAATTTGCCAGGCACGGTGGCGGATGCCTGTAAACCCAGCTACTAGGCAGGCTGAGGCACGGGAATCACTTGCATCCTGGAGGCAGAGGTTTCAGTGAGCCTAGATCACACAGCACTCCAGCTGGGGGAGACAGTGTGAGACCCTGAAAAAAAAAAAAAAACAAAAGAGAAAGAGAGAAAGAAAAGAAAAGAAAAGAAGAAAAGAAAAGAAAAGAAAAGAAAAGAAAAAAGAAAAGAAACAAAAAGAAAGAAAATAAAAGAAGGAAGGAAAAAAAAAATATTTCCACACCAAGAAAAGAGACTCACAGGGAACATAAATGACTGAGGGCTCCAACTCCTAACGTTTTATTTATTTATTTATTTATTTATTTATTTTATTAATTAATTTTTTTATTTTACTGAGGGGCATAAGGCAGAAAACAGAGACCAAGGCATGTTTCAGAGCAGGAGTGGACGTTTATTTTAAAAGGCTTTAAAACAGGGAAAAAAAGCAAAGTACACTTGGAAGGGACCCAAGCAGGCGACTTGAAGAACAAGTGCCCCAACTCCTTAGACTTGAAATTCATCTCAGCATTCACACTGAGTTGACAGCTCCCCAAGGCTGCTCTTCACGTGACTAAATGTGGCAGGGATTCTAAGGAAGACCTGCTCGTGGGAAACAAAGGACTCTCTTGTTGATGGACTTTGGCTCACAGACACCCTGCAGCTTTGTAGAACCTTCCTTAGACTAATCCAGGACATTTCCACCTAAATTCTTCTCTCCACTAAGTCAGACATGCCACAAACCAGTTCTGACAATTCTCCACCTTCCCTGCTTTCTTCTCTTTTTCCTATCACAGAGGAAATTCCCTACTTCACCTCTCCCTGGGCTCAGAGAGTACGCAGGGAAAAGACTGTCAATGAATTTATCCTTGCAGAGGTGCCAGGCAACATCCACCAGATCTATCTATGTCTACAAGCAGGTAGGTAATATTCCTTAATCCAAGAAGAATTCAAATTATTTATATCACTGTGAATAAGGGGAACTTAAAAAATCTCAACCAGAGTTTATTTACTGCCATCAGAGCTCCAGATCCCCAGAGTATTGCTCCTCCTGCCCCCACAGTTACAGACACTAATGAAATGGGTAACATAACTGCAGACAAAACCTGAGGTGACTAATGATTTCAGTCTGTTCTTTCTTTTTAACACGTCTTCCAAAATACTTTGCTTTGGAGAAGAAAATTGTAAAAACAGGAAAAAAATGGGGGGGGGGATATTTATTTTGCTTTTACATAAAATAGTTCTAAAATGTGTAGACCTAGATGGTCAGGGGAAAAAAAAAGGGAAGAGGAGATGGGGACAAGAGGGAAGAAGAGAAAAAGGAGATAGAAGACAAGTGTTGTTTATCTCTCAATTCTGACCCACCTCTTTTGTATTGCAAAATTATATCACATGTACAGAAAATAACCTAAAATATAAATGTCTACTTTAATAAGTAGGTACAAAATGAGCACTCTTGTAACTACTACTCAGGTCAATGTAAAAACATGTCTAAGCATTCCTGTTTGGTTTGGTTTTCTTTATAAATCTTATCAACTAATTTGTATTCCTAAACACTATAGTTTAATTTTGCCTGTTCCTTATATTCAAGGAGTCACACAGGTATTCTTCTGTGTTTGGATTCACTGGCTTAACATTTGGCTTGTAAAATTTCTATGTTTTGCATGTTGCAGTAATTTGCTCATTTGCATCGCTGTATAGTATGTCCGTATCTGAAGAGACCACATTTGATATATCCATTCTATCAATAATGGATATTCGAGTTGTTACCAGCTTGCGCTATTGTAAATCATCTCTTGGCATATGTGAGCATGAGTTTGTGCTGACTGTATACTTAGGAGTAAAATTGGTAGGTCATAGGGCATGTATATCTTCAGCTTTAAGAAGTGTAATTTTCCAACATTGTTGTGTCAGTTTATACTCTCACCAGTGGTGTATAAAAACTCTGATTGCTCTGCAGGCTTAAGAAAACTTGTCATTAACAGGTTTTTAAAATTACCTATCCTATTGTTATGTAGGGTTATCTCACTGTGGTTTTAATGTTCATATTTCTCATTATTTCTGGTTACTAATGAAGGTGGACACATTGCCATGTGAACACATTGTTTTTGTGTGGAATCCTGTTCAAGTCTCTTGCCCATTTTTCTATTGCACTATCTTCTTTTACTGATCTATAGGAGTACTTTATTCAGGAAACAAGATTTTTATTTTACTTATATGTATTATATATATGTGTCCCTCCCAGGGTTGCATCTTCAGTCTCTTAAGGATTTATTTTGATGAATAAAATTCTACAATTGAATATAGATAAATTGACAACATTTTTCTTTATGATTGGTGTTGTTTCCTGTTTAAAAATCTTCCCTTCCTCTGCAATTATGAAGATACTCTCTATCTTGTCTTTCATAAGATTTACTGTTTTGCCTTTTACAATTATATACTATTAATGTTTAATATATTAATTTTATACACAATTTTTACAATTTATAAGTTGTAAATTTATATTTTACAATTATATACATAATCTATATGGTTTTTTGGAACAGTGTTCACTAGGGGTGAAAATTTTTTTAATTATATGGAGATCTATTTTGTTCCCAAAGCACTTATTCAAAACACCACCCTTTGCCCACTGCAATAGGTGCCGTACTTGTCATAAATCAAATAATACATGCATGGGTCTGCATCTATTAGCCTATTATTACTATAATACTACACTATCTTAATTTTTATAGCCTTAAAATAAATCTTAATATTCAATGGAAGAAATCTTCTTCAAGGGTGTCTTGTCTATTCTTAGCATAATTTACATCTTACATATCTGTTTTTAGATTTATTCTTAGGATTTTATTTTATATTTTGATACTACAATAAGTGCTATATTTTAAATTTTGTAATTATTTATACCTGGTATTTAAAAATCAATTGGTTTTTGAATACCATTTATTTTAAAAAGTGCTAAACTCACTTGTAAATGTTAGTAACTTATCTGTAGATTTGTTGAGATATTTTTACATATAAAATAATATAACCAATATATAAATACTTACAATTTTATCTCTTGCTTTCCAATTCACATAATATTTATTTTTCAACTTTTCTTGATGCATTGCCTAGGACATGCAATATAATGTTCAATAGAAATGATAATAGTGAGTACCATGGTCTTAGTCATAATCTCAAAAACAAAATCTGTCAACATTTCTACAAAAGAATTATTAAAGATGTGGTTCTTGTACATATTCTTTATCAGAAAGATTACCCTTTATTACAAGGAAGTTTATACTTATTCCTAGTTTGCTAAAGGCTTTTTATAATACATTTTATCAGACATTTTTCCTGTACCTATAAAAATAATTTTTTTCTAGTATATTCTAGTGTATTCTACTAGAATACACTAGAAAAATGTGGTGAAATATATTAATTTATTTTCAGATATTGAATCAATTCTACATTCACAGAATAAATTCACATGAGAGATGACAAATTATTTTTTCTAAATATTGTTGGATTTTGGTTTGCTATTATCTTATGATTTTTGTCCAAATGTTTAGGAGAGGCGCTGACTTGTAATATTTCTTTCTTTTTCTTACAGGTTTTAGTGTCATGTTTATGATGGCCTCATAAACAAGTTAGAAAATATTTCTCTTTTTTTGTTCCTCTAAGAAGAGTTTGGTTAAAATCACTACTATTTCTTTCTTATTATACATATTTGGTAAAATTTGCTAGTGAAATAATGCTTCAGAACTTTTCCTTTTGGGGAAATTACAAATTAAATTTATTTATTAACTAATGTATTTATTAGCAATTCAAATGTTCAATTTCTTTTTATATTTAGTAGATGCCTTTTTCTAAATATTTGTCATTTCAAATAAACTTTCAAATTTATAATATACTCCCTTTTTTCTTTTTTATGTTAATTAGATCCATGATAATAGTCCCTTTTTTGTTATTTGTGATCTTTCTCTTTTTTCATGATTAATTCCATCAGGATTTTATCAGTTATAACCTTTTCAAAGACTGATTTTTTAATTTCCAATGATCCCCTATTTCGTGTGATTATTTTTAGTTTTATGTTTTCTGTTTTATCTTTATTATTTTATTCCTTTTACACTCTTTGTGTTCATCTTGAAATTGTGTTTCTAACTTTTAAAATGGATGCTTGTATTATTTTCAGCCTTTCTTTTTTTCTAATATGCACATTCATGGGCATAAGATTTCCCCAGCAAATACTTATTTTGTCATACTCTACAACTGTTGATGTATTTTATATTTATTATACTCCAGTTTCAAATATTTGCTACTGTGCTTTGTGACTTCTTCCTTGAAGAGTGGGTTAAATAGAAGTACATTTCTTTCTTTTTTTTTTTTTTTTGAGACTCGGTCTGTCGCCCAGGCTGGAGTGCAGTGGCCTGATCTCAGCTCACTGTAAGCTCCGCCTCCCGGGTTTACGCCATTCTCCTGCCTCAGCCTCCCGAATAGCTGGGACTACAGGCGCCCGCCACCTCGCCCGGCTAGTTTTTTGTATTTTTTAGTAGAGACGGGGTTTCACCGTGTTAGCCAGGATGGTCTCGATCTCCTGACCTCGTGATCCGCCCGTCTCGGCCTCCCAAAGTGCTGGGATTACAGGCTTGAGCCACCGCGCCCGGCCCTCTTTCTTTTTTTAACCTTTAAGTTTAGAGACACACTTGCAGGTTTGTAACATACGTAGACTTGTGTCATGGGGGTTTGTTCTACAGATTATTTCATCACCCAGGTATTAAACCTCGTACTTACTCATTAGTTATTTTTCCTGATCCTCTCCCTCCTCTAACACCCCACCCTGCAATAGGCCCGAGTGTGTGTTGTTCCCTTCTATGTGTCCACATGTTCTCATCATTTAGCTCCCACTTATAAGTGAGAACATGTGGTATTTGGTTTAAAAGCACATTTCTTAATGTCAAAACAAACAAGGATTTTTCTAGTTATCATTTTATTTGTCTGGATCATTTGTGTTTTTATCAGAGAACATTATATGATTTCAATGCTTTGAAACGTTGTGACTTGCTTGATGACTCAAAATGTAGTCAAATTTTATCAATGCTTTTGTGTGCTTGAAAAGAATGTACATTCTATAGTTAGCTGCAGTGTGCCACACACATACACACACACACACACGTTTATATATTTTTATGTAAACATTAATATTTTTAAAAAATCTTTAATATCCCCACTCATTTTCTTTTCTGTTTGTTCTCTCAGTTAATGAGAGAGGTAAGCTAAAATACATATTATGAGGGTATGCTCATTTCTCCTTTTAGATTTGTCCATTTTTACTCTAGTTTAAGGTTATATTTTAGCTGTATTTAAAGGTAGAATCATTATTTTTTTTCCTAGTAAGTTGAATCTTTTATCACTAGGAAATTCTTACCATCTCTAATAATATTTTGCCTTGAAGCCTACTTTTTCTAATCTTAATATATATTTCCATCCTTTTAACTTTTTGATATCATTATGTTTTAGTTGTACATCTCAAAAAACAAATACAATTGAGTTTTTTAACCCTGTCTGACAATCTTTGTCTTTCATTTGGAATATTTAGTCCATTTACATTTAATGCAATTATTGATATATGTGTGTTTAAATCCACCACTTTACTATCTGTTTATGCTTTGTCTCTCTTATTCTATGTTTTATTTTCTCTCTTTCATTTCTCTCATGGTTTGACTTCTTTAATTTTCTTTTTAGGGTATGGTTATGTATTCGTTGGCTAATTAGACATTTATTTTTCTATTCTCCTAGTGATTAAACTAAAAACTAAATTTACATCTTTAGCTTATCAAAGTCTAATGTTAATTGGAAGCTTTTTCTGGAAAAGAAAAAGACATCAGAGAATTATAATTTTGTTTATTCCTCTCCTACTATATATACCAGCTTTTTA